TGAGAAAATTAGAGTTGATTCGGTTTTATTATATATAAAAAAAAATGTTTTTGTTTTAAAATATTAATTAACATTTATTTCCATGGTAAAATAAAACATTATTATTTAATGAACAAATTAAAATAAAATAAAAGATTCACCAAAACAAAATTCACTTTTGTCCCTCACTTCACTAAGTCCCAGCGAGTAAGAATCTTGAGTAGAGTGTCGCAGATTTTGTGTATTTTAAAATCGCCGAAAGAACTGATTTTAATAGGAAAAAATGGGTTTTTATAGTAGACGAGGGTCGTGTAGCGATACCTAGTGTGATCTTATAAACTGTAGATCTTAATTAATAGTTAAATGAGATTGCCTAGACTTAATTGAAAACCCACACATGGGCGTAACTTTGAATCTGTACGATAATCAGATTTAATTGCCTAATTTATTGATTATTTTAAGTTTTAAATAAGGGAACCCTGTTTTGGTGATCTTGTGAATTCATAATATATGACATACATGTACAAAAGATAACATAATATAATATTTTAATATTATAAGTAATAATAAATTACAAAAATTAGTACTATTTCTAGAAATTCTTTGTAGTCATCCCTCGGGAAACTGCAATCAAGTTTTTCAATACAGTAAAATACAATTTCATTAACTACATCTTTTAAATTTGAATGACAATCACCAAATGTCGAATATATTCTATATTTGCTTAAATCCAAAATTTTCCAATGACATTTAAATCTTTTAAACAAAGGAATATCAGGGCCAGACATCACAGTAAGTTTTGAATTTACAAAAACCGCTTGTAATATTATTTCAAATATATGATGGCGCCATGCAAAAAAAAGAATATATCGGTTAAATAGTTGTTCCAAAAGAGCACAAGACCCATTTAATCGACCAGTATTTGACGTTGTAGTATCAAACACAAAAGACTGAATTTTGTCAACTAAACATCATTCATGTAATGTAGTATAGGCAGTAGAAGAAATTTCTTTTCCAGTACCATACAGAAGGTCAGGAACTCCTAATAATTTTTCAACATTAGGAGCTGTAGTTATAATAGGTAGACGATCAACTGTTTCGGTATTTTTTATATTAGAAAGTAATTTCGAATCCCAGTGAAGAACAACAAAATTTAAATTTAGGTTAAACAATTTAGACATTAAAATCTTTGACAGCTGTTCTCGATAATTTTCTCGATTCCTTTTAATAGCTGATCTATTAATTGCAAAACGGGAAAAATCTACCTGAAGACTTTCTGCGGCTACCGTTAACAAATGTAATAAACAAAAAACGGTAGCACAGTGGGGTGGCGGCACAGTGGGGTCGTGGCATAGTTGGGTCCAGTATAGATGATATCTGACAGTGATTAAAATCACTATCATGATCTATCTATCTATCACATCAAAACGCTTCGATGCAAATCTTTAGATATTGTTTAATTTTAAAAAATTGAAGGATTATTCCAAAAGCTACATGATCTGCTATTTCTTAATTTATATCATGATTAAGATAAAGTATATCCAATGAAAAATATATAATTTTTTGTAAAAAAGTTACTATTTTAAATCCCCCCAGTGAGCAGAATAAGTGTTAGATTTTCAAAAAAAATTATATCAAATGAAAGGGAAATATCTAAGGTTTCAATACAAAAAAATATTATTTTTATTTGTTCATTTTTGAAAAAGTTATGGAAGTTTTAAGTACAAAAAACATCCCGATAAAATGTAATTTTTATCGCAAACATTACATTTTTTTTAATTTTCGACAGCCATTTGCGTATAGAAGATAGGTCGTCGGGACAAATTTTTGTTTTTCATTTGATAGTATATAACATAACCTTTAATTTCATTTATGTTTAAAGGACGCAGTATTTCTGGAACATTTTCAAAAGTTCAGTTGAAAACGATCTATGTTTTTTACAATATTTCAAGTTTTGAACGCCCCCTATATAAGAGGAAATTGTCCAATTTTAATAAAAAGTATGTCAAATGAAAGATGTACTTATAATGTATTTAAGAAATAAAAATTGTGCTGATATATACATTTTTCAAAAAGTTATAGCATTTTTAAGTTGAAAATTTAAAATCGAAAATCGAAAATTTTAACACAAAAATAGTGTTTTTTTAACTACGGCAGCCGTTTAAATGTAGAAGAAAAAGTGTCGGGACAAATTTTTTTTTTTCATTTTATAGTACATAAAATATGCTTTAATTTGATATATGTTTGAAGGACGCAGGATTTCCGGAACATTTTCAAAAATTAAGTTGAAAAAGTTAATTTTTGTAAAAAAGTTATTATTTTAAATTCCCCCCAATGAGCAGGTTAAGTGATAGATTTTCAAAAAAATGATATCAAATGAAAGGTAGATACCTAAGGTTTTAGTATAAAAAAAAATTTATGTTGATTTGTTAATTTTTCAAAAATTTGTGGAAGTTTTAAGAAAAAAAAGTGAAAAAATTTCGAAAATTAGCGATTTTTAAATTTGTAATTTTTTTGGATATTTCCCCCATTTGCGGGGAACGAG